GTCGCTGTCCCCAGGAGGAGCCAGGCTGGCAAGCTGCCCTCAGGAATCCAGTTTCAGGTATGAGTATAGCCCCCCCATCACCCACCGCATCCGTCCCCAGCTCCCTCACCAGCGCACCAGCAGCCGGAGTGATTACCCCCCTTTTGCAAAGGAAACTCTGCATGAGAGACGGCGTTGGCTGCAGTCATGAGCGCGGGGCTGGAAGCAGAAGTGTCCCTAATCGCCCGCTTCTGTAATCAGAGAGCGGTCCTCCTGCCAGGGTGGTGGAGATCATCCCAGCCCTTGACGCTGCAAGCCTGTGCTCCACACCGGAGGCAAGACCCCAAGGCTCCGCACCGGAGGCAGGACCCCAAGGCTCCCCTCTGGGAGCTGGGAACGAACGGGAAGAGGCCCGAGCAGGCTCAGCCCCTGCAGAGCAGCGTGGCTGGGGACAGCTCACCCCGAAGAACGGCCAACAGAAACGAGTTGCAATCTGGAGGCTGGATGCTGCCGCGGTACCGGCCGATGGCAGCTCCCGACTTGCACTTCCAAGCCCTTTTGGATCACTCGGGATGGCAGCGCGCTTTCTCCCTGTTCCACGTTACACTGAATATTGATGTATGCCACAGAGCGCGGGAGAAGCTCCCTCAGGGGAAGGGCCCTGTATCCAGCAGCTGTCCCAGAGGGATGCTGTGCAGGGAAGTGGGCAAGGACCTGGCCCAGAAGGGAACACCCTGGGGTACCCCCAGTTAGGATGGGAGCAGAAGCCTCGGGGTACAACCTCGAGGGGTGTCACTTGTGCAGCGCCCGCCGCACTCTCACAGATGCAGCTGGAGACAGGAACTAAAACATCCATCTCTTTATTTCAATGGCAAGAAACAACAACATCCAAACGGTCCAAGTCTAAAAGCAACAGGAACGCAGGCTCATGCCAGGCTCTTGGCCTGCTGGAGCCGACACCCTCACAGAGTTACAAAAATACAGTCCTATGACAGCGTCTAGGAAACACAGACCCAGGTATTGCACAGAACGCCTGCCCTCCGCGGGCAGGGTGACCAACACCCCCTCTGCCTTCGCCAGAATGCAAGCCAGGCTTGGAATTGCACAGCAACTCAGCTCACGCGTGCACGGGCGCGGGGGGGCCAGGGGGGGGGGGGGACGACAGTGTGTCTCTCAACTACCTGTACGAAAACTATAAGGGAGGATACAAAACTGGGGAGAAAGGGGGAAGCTGGGGCTGTAAACGCCTCCAGGCCGGGCTGGGCATCCTGGCTGAGGGGGACAGCGGTTTGGACCTCTGAGAAGATGACAGTTCCCTGTCTGTTGGTGGCCTGCGAGTAGTGCTGATGGGAACCCCGGGCACTGCTGGAGCATCCCAGCTCTGAAGGCACTGCGATGCTATCGTTATTAATCGCCAATACTGCCGCTGGCCCCGGCACTCTGCACTGCCCTGCACCTCTGCTCCCCACCACAGCATCCCCCATCCTCCAAGGGAATTCTGCCCCCTGGTCAAAAAGCCTGAAGGGTATTCTGGTTCTCTGCGGTATCCTCATACCCTTTTTTTGGTATTGGTACTAGGACGGATCCAAACGGTGCCACCCAGCATTACCCAGCGGGTGCAGCTGGCTGGGGGTGCAGGTGGGACCACACGGACCCCATGCAGCAGTAGCATCCTTTCCTGGGACCCAAGCTGCGAGCAGCAACCTGCTTCCAAACTGCTGCCCACCTGCAGGTGACGAGCAGGTCTGCAAGGCCGAGAGCCATCAGCTCTCCTCCTCCGTTGGCACCTCCTGGTCCCAGAGACTGTCAGTGCTGCGAAAGCCTTGCTGAGGGGCTGCCCTGATGCCTCTGTGGATGCTCAGCACCCACAGCATCTGCAGGGGAGCTGCGTCGTGGTGCCTTGTACCCCATGGCAGGTGGTAGGTGAAATGCCACCCCACTGCAGGTGTGACTTGGGCTATGCATCCAAAGCCCTCTTTCTGCTAAAACTGGAGAGGGTGAGCTGATGGTCTGCCCAGGGAGCTTGTGTCTGGGCTGGGCGAGCTCCCAAGTTTTCCCTGCAAAGCCCTGCGCCCAGTTTGGGGGATGGCAGGAGCTGGACTCAGAGGATGCGTGCTGACAGGTTGGGGGGCATGGGGGGAATCCCTGAGAGCAGCACTGACCCCAGCACTGCCCCTCCAGCCCCGTGCAACTTCCAGCATCTGGGGGGAGGGGAGAGGAGCTGAAGCAGGGAGGGCAGCCAGATCCAAGACAGCATTTGGGAAATGTAACAGGCTCCACCGTGCCCAGTGCCCAGGCCCAGCGCAGCTCTCCATCATGGCTACGTGCTGCAGCAGGCTGATGCAGAGCTGCCCAGCAGACACCAGTCGTGCAAGCTGCCCCGCTCTGCCCTGCAGAGGGAAGGATGACGAGAGGGCTCGGTAGCCTTTCTCCACGCCATCCCTGCCCCGGGTCAGACTGCTGACCGTCTGAGCACTAAAGGCAACCGAGAGGGCAGCGGCTGCCCTGCTTCCAGCTGTGCCAGTCCCAGATGCTCTGAGGAAAGGCTGGGAGTGCCAGGGACTTCCCTCCTGCCGCAGAAGGCCCCCGTAGGGCACCACCGCGATGTGGGGACGGGAGCACACACGGGAGTGCCAGGGACTTCCCTCCTGCCGCAGAAGGCCCCGGTAGGGCAGCACAGAGATGTGGGGCAGCCACAACCGACAGGAGGGAGGAGGCGGCACGGGCAGTAAGTCATGATACTTCCCTCGGGGCAAAGTCTGAGGCTCACCACCTCTGCTGCCTGCCCGCACAGCCTGTGCCTCCCGCGCCTGTGCCAGACAGGAGAGAAGGAACAGGACACGAACCTAGCCAAGCATCTAAAGCAGGGGCACTGCCAGCAGGGAGAGGGTGCGAGCAACGATATCCCACAAGGATCATAGGTAGGAGCCTGCGGAGGGGCACTGGCATCACTCTGCTGCACGGGGTGACCCAGGGCTTCAGCCTGGCCTGCCCCACCAGGGCTGCAGGATGGAGCTCATCCAGGGCAGGGAACGTGGTGGATGAGGGGCAAAGTGGGGGGGACACACACAAAGAGCCAGGCTTCAAGTCCCGAATACCCACTCTCCTCACAAACAGAGTCCCAGCCCAGCCTGGGGCAGAGCTCTGCTGTGCTGTCTCCATCTCCTCTGGGGACCAGGTTGACATCGAGGGAGGGCTGGGCCAGACTCACAGCTCTGCCAGTTGGCATTGTCCTCTTCTTGTCCTGCCCGAGCTGACTTGGGCTAAGGCACGGCGAGCACTACACAGCTGTCTCCTGGTCCTCGCGCTGGATCATCTGGTAGTGCTGTCGGTTCTCGAGGTAGGCAGCTAAGTCGGGGTCATTGGCTTTCTCAGCCCGGTGCTTGGGGGTGTCTCCCTGCATAGGTGAGGCAAAAGATGTCAGAGCGCCGAGTACTGCCTAAACGCTGCCTCAGCACCCAAAGGTGCCCCCGTTCCCCCACTGAAAAGGTGGCTGCAGCTGGGTCCAGCAGAGCCTACAGCCAAGCGCTGAGTAGCAGTAGCTGAACGCCCACGTGCTCGCCACGGAGTGAAGGCATGCTCCCAAGGAGCCCCACTTTGCTGCAGGGCTGGAAGCTGTCCCCTTGAAGGGCCACCAGCCCCGTGCATAGGCCAAGATGTAGACCAGCCCCGACCATCACCAGTCCCCCCGAGAGCAAAGGTTGGTCCCCACGACCTGCTCTTCTCCAGCGCTGCGAGGCAGGCGGGAGAGGGTGAGGAATGAGGGGTATGTCTGGGGAATGCCCGGGAATACCAACCCCCCTTCTCTCTCGAAGCCTGGCCAGTGCTCTGGCTCCCAGAGGAGGATCACATTTCACCAGCTTATTGCAGCCATCTGGACTGTGTCCACTAATGAACTCCCGCACTCCATAAAAAGCAAATCTGTTAACAGCTCCCAGCTCCGTCTCCTCTCCCCCTGCCCTCCCCCTGCTCCTCGCTCCTCCTCCCCCAGCGCCCGGGCTCTGCTGTGCCACTGAGGAAGGCTGCGGAAACCTGGCGCTCGGCCACTGCCATTGAGAACCGGCCCCAAAGGGATGCCCGGCCCACCGGGCTCGTCTCTGGTGCACAGCGGGGCGCAGACGGCTGCGGCGGGGTACCGGGGCCGCCGGGGTGACAACCCACGGCCATATTTCTCCAGCAGGAACAATGGTCGGACACATGGAGCCTCCGCCGGGCCTGCGGACAAAAGCCCAGCCGTGTGTGGCTGTGGAGAGGCGTGATGCACCAAGGGACCCCCTCTTTTGCATGTGCACCCCGTGCTTCAGTGCCAGATCTCCTCGGGGGCCTCTTCCTCACAGCCCCTGAATGCAAGCGTAAGGCTCGGCCTCCCTCCCAGCTGCAGGGTGCGGATCAGCCCCCTCCGAAGCCGTGCCACAGGTCTGACACCCGGGGTTCCAACGAGGTGGGTCCTGCCCGTGCAGGCAGGCTGTGACCCGGAGCCCACGCCAGGTCAGCGCAGCGGCGCACGGGGGTCCCCAGTCAGCCACAAACCCGGACACGCGTTTGCACAGGCATGTGCAAGCCCCTTTCCCTGGGGCAGCCGTCACGCCCGAGCAGGGCTCCCTTTTCTGCTGGCAGGTTGGGGGCTGCTCCTCTCCTTCAGGCAGATGAGGCAGATGAGGCTGGGGGGGGGGGGCGGGCCGCCCCCCCCCGCCCCGTCTCCAGCCAGGCCAGCCCTGCTCCAGGCGCTGTGCGAGGGCTAAGCCTTAGCCAGGACCAAGGAGGAGCGATGGGGAGCCAGAGATGGGGATGCTGTAGAGCATCTCCCTGGCAGCTGACAACACAGCTGCACGCTGTCTGGGGCCGTCCCCAAGCTCCACTGGCCCCAGCAAGTTTGCACCCCCTGGCTGAGCTCCTACCCTGTGTCCCAGACCCACAGATTGCACCTTCTTAGCTTGTTCTACATCTGTTCCGCTACAGCCCATCGCTACAAGCCTCCGTTGGACAGATGTGACCACGTCCCCCGTGCCACACACCAGCCCTGGGAACCTCCCATACCAAAACATGGCCTCAAGCACCCTTCCCGTGACTCCTCTGCCAGGGCTGGCACAACTCCCTGGCACCAAGGCACGTCTCAATTAACTCGGCATGCGAGGGAAAGGGCCGCCACTGCCTGCTCCTGCTCCCCACGGGCCGGCTTCACCGCCGAGAGGAGCTCCCCGGGCCCCCAGCCCGGGGGGGAGAGTGGGGGGAGCCCTGCAGCTGGGAGGGAGCTCACAGCAAGACTGTCCTTGATCTGACCCCGGAGGGTGGGAAGGGGAGTCGGGGATGAGACATTCCAGCCCCTCGCTCCTAATTTAATAAAACAACAGGGAGAGAAGCACAGGGAGGAGAGGGATTTAACCCCTCCGCAGCTGGGCTCCACTGGGCAAGCAGGGGTGCTTCATGTCAGCTCCTCCTTGGCTGGCAAAGACTCCAGCCAAAGCACGCTTGCTCTGCTTTCCTGCTGCGCAGCTCCTGTCCGCCACCCGCG